CTCTGGAGGACTCTAGGCGGCGAATGGTACGATGTATAGCCATTTCATATTTAAGATTCTACATGGGCGTGTGTCACACTACTGCTTGGGGTTGATTCTGGCCAAGCACAACAGGATGAGGGAGTTGGCGGATGAAGTTGATGTTCGGTGTGGATGTGCTACATCAGTAACTCATGGATTACCTTGCGCATGCACCATTCACCGCGTAATTATCCAAGATAGGACGTCATTACACGTTGATCAGGTTCATCCATTCTGGCGGACGCTCGTTATTGGTGAGCATGCAGATACGCAGACGGCCGACCGCGAGCAGGAGGAGTTGGATCAGTTTCGTTCGATGTACGACCGAGTATCCTCCAGTCATCCTTCCATTATTCGTGATGCTACTCACGTACTGCATGACATGTTCAACACGTCCTGCTTAGATCACGAGGAACCTGAAGGGGTTGAGCGACCTAGAGGCCGTCAACGGCGGAACAGGAGTGCGTTTGAGTACATTCGTGGTCGTGGTCGTACGTCGTCATCCAGTCGTAGCCAGTCTTCTTCGTCTGTGAATATGCCCGGCACTGGTACAATAGCTTACTTTAATTTACATTTTATAATGGTTTTGAGTTTACTGCTGACTTGTTCACTGTGTTTAATGATATGTTCAACAAGAAGATTTGATATTGACCAGTTTCCATACAAGGATAGGATACCTAACATCATCATGTCATACTTAGACGGCTGGAATGATGTAGTTGGAGATGGTAACTGCGGATTTCGGGTCGTGGCTGATGTGTTTCAGATGGGTGAAGACAACTACGGCTTAGTGCGTCAGTTGATGTACAGTAAAATTGCCTCTAACCGAGATGTTTATCGTCATGTGTACCAAGACGACTTGGATAGTGCTCTGCGGCGTAAATCACTATTTCGACGCGCCACTAGATCTATTTGCCGTTGCAAACATTTACAAGTGCGCAGTAATGCATTTCGGGCTGGGATTGCATAGTCGAGCTTATTATCCTTGTACAACGGTTCTCCCTTGGTCATCGCGTGAGACCGTCACTACACCGGTCAGAGAGTTAGCTATTGCATTTCTTGGGTCGTCATACAAACATTTCATCCGACTAGACCTGTCATCCGATTTTCCTGTCCCACCGATCATACCTCGGTGGTACGACATTCGCACAACAAGCGTAGAGGGTTGGGATGCGCTGTATCATGACCGGATCCATCAATGGAACACCCTAGCATCTTTTTAGTTTTTCTTTTGTACACTATTCCCGTGTAACCTTATTTTTACGTTGCTTATTATCCTCGTATTGTACTGTTGATTACATTTGTTAGAACCTAAAACGATAATTTCAAATGTTAGAAACTAAAACGATAATTTCAAATGTTAGAAACTAAAATTTCAAATGTTAGAACCTTAAACGATAATTTCAAATGTTAGAAACTAAAACGATAATTTCAAATGTTAGAAACTAAAACGATAATTTCAAATGTTAGAAACTAAAACGATAATTTCAAATGTTAGAAACTAAAACGATAATTTCAAATGTTAGAAACTAAAACGATAATAATTTTAAATGTTAAAAACTAAAACGATTGTACAAAATTCTGCAAACTACAAAGATAATGTCCTATTTCACAAACTAATTTGATAATGTAAAAAATGTTCAACAAACAAAATGCCAATAACATCAGTAATCCCTCTTTGCCGCCGACTCCCAATGCGCAAGGGTCTGTTCCAACTCATCAACAGCAGCTCTCGCTGCTGCACTCATGCTATCCTTCTCCAGGGAGAGTTTTTGTACGCCTTGCATTACCTTTCCCATCCACTACACAAAAAAATGATGAAATTGAATAACGATATATAAAACTTTTAAAAAACGCAACAATAAATTTTTGTTCAGACATACCGCATCTACGGCAGTTGGCGGTGGATCATGATCATCGGCGTCGTCGCCATGGTCGAGGTCTCTAATCAACCTTGGGTGCGAATACCGGTTGTACCATTCCATGTAGTGCTGGTCACACATGGGAGGCACCCTAGTAGGCGGCCTCTGCAGCTCCGCAGTCCATAAGCGGGCAACCATCGGGAACTGCTCCCACATGGCAATCATGTTATCCGGCCATTGGACGACGTACTCCTTCGACGACGCAGATCGGACCGCCTTACTCGGCCATGCCGGTGGAGGAGGGACAACTTGGACGAACCCAAGCTGGCGAAGACAGCGCTGGGGCATGTACGCCTCCACGATCTCACGATACTATATGAGTCCCGTGTAGAGGGTCCTGGGTACCCTATTACTAGGGTTCTGGCCGAAAGTCATCCAGTTCACCTGCACAAAATGTTTCAAATTAGTAAGTTTTATATAATAAATGCAGTACAGTACAAATTTTGAAATAATGTATGCACTTTACCTTTAAGGGGGACATCCGATCAAGCGATAACCGTATCGATCAGAGGCAGTCAACAGACTTCTTCTCCAACCGCGGACTCCACACACAGGCACGAGGCATCCCATCACCAATAGGAACTGGGTCACGGTGTGGTCGAAATGCAGAAAAATACTCGTATATCCAGGTCTGCAATAAAGTCAGACATCCAGGGATACCTGCCGCGTCAGCCCGACTCGAAAATCCTAGTTGGCGATACAGATACGCCAACGTAGCCGACCCCCAAGAAAACTGACCAACACTGTTGGGCTCACACGCATCAACTATGTCGCGTGGCATGAGCTTGTTTCCGCTCTTATCCGGAAACAAGGTACACCCGAGGAGAAGAAAAACATAAGCAGTTAGCTGTGCATCGTGCGTCCTACGTGCACCGGGGTGCAAACAACGCTGCAAGACGGATGCGATTTTCACACCTCCGTGGTCCCAAACACCAAGCGCCCCTGTGTACAGCGCAACCCTGTCCACCGCCAACAGCTCCGCTAGCAAATCTGCCTGATCCGCATCAGTCACAACAGAAACACGTTTACCCTCTGCGCGAATCCCAAGAATGGCCTCGACGTCATGCAACATGATCGTCATCTCACCGAATGGAAGGTGGAAAGAGTTTGTATCCGGCTGCCATCGCTCAACGAAAGCCGTGATCAGCGTCCAATCAATCTTATCGTGCATGGTGGCAGGAAGGTGATTCACCCCAGTGCCCTGAAGTCAGTCGAACATCTCGCTCTCCAACGGCCAAGCCTCAGCCCATCTGCTCAAAACGCTACAAGTCTTTTCTCGGGTTTGGCATTTCAAAATGCCGGTCACCAAACCCCTCTCCTGGTCCTCCCAAATACGGGTAGCTATGTGTCCTAGAAAGCTAGGAATCACACTCCCATCTACAGGCCCCCCAGACACCGCACCCTTAACCACCCAAGAATCATTAACGGCCCTCGACTGTTTTCTGCTTGCCCCAGACACGGTGGATGCAGATGATGTGCCAGATTTACTCACAAACCTACCATCCCTACCCTTACGCACATCTACCCTATGTGTCTCGTACATGTCATCTAGCCTCTGACTGAATGGACCGTAATCATCATATGGTCCACTCCCATCGTCCACATCCTCATATGCGTCCTCCTCCTCCTCCTCCTCCTCCTCATCATCATCATCATCATCATCCTCCTCATCTCGATGGTGAACCCGTTTTCTACGAGCCGAGGCCGAAATACCATGGGATCTAAGATGTTTGGGCCCCGAGCTCTCCATCGAGTAGTTTCCAGACCTAATAAGGTCTAAATTCTTCCCCGCACCATGACGAAAATGCGACACCTTCAAAAAATTAAAAAATGTATACACATTAAAAAAATTATAAGAAAAATAACTACCAAAACCAAATCAAATGAATTAAAAAAATACTAGCAAACTACCCTGAAAAAGAAATTAACAGAACACTTAAAATAAATTACAGAATAAAATATACACAAACAAAGAAAAAAAAACCAACACATACAAAATTTATATAAACATAAAAGAAAAAAAAAATAACCTAACGAAAATATATCAACTAAATAGAGAAACATACTAACAAATTGCAATAACAAATATAAAAAAAAAATTGTACAAAACAAACATACAAAGAAATGTAAAGGAAGTATAAACGTAAAAAAAATACAACAAAATTGAAAAAAACTTAAAAAAACATAAAACACAAACAAAATTTTATTTTCAAAAAAAATTAGGGGAAAAAACAAAAAACAAAAACATAAAAAAATTATGATTTTCAAAAAAATAAACAAAATAAAAAAAAAACCGATTTAAAAAAAAACATAAAAAAACAAAAACCCAAAGAAAAATACTCAAAAAAACAAAAAACAACAAAAACATAAAAAAATTATGATTTTCAAAAAAATAAACAACATAAAAAAAAAACAGAATTTCAAAAAAAAAAAAACCATAAAAAAACAAAAACCCAAATAAAATTACTTAAAAACAAAAAATAACAAAAACATAAAAAAAATTATGATTTTCCAAAAAAAAAAACAAAATAAAAAAAAACTGATTCAAAAAAAAAAATCATAAAAAAACAAAAACTCAAACAAAATTACTTAAAAAAACAAAAAAAAAAATTGATTTCCAAAAAAAAACAAAAAAAGGGGGGGGGGGGGGCGCATGGCTGGGACGCCACGCCATGGGTGGCGGCGCCTGGCTAGGACGCCAGACCGCTGGTGGCGGCGCTGGGCCAGGATGCCATTCCTGTGGTGGCGGTGCCTGGCTAGGAAGCCACACTGGTGGTGGCGGCGCCAGATCCAGACGCCATGACCGTGGTTCCGGAGTTTGATTCTGGCGCCACCACCACCGCCGTGGCGTCCTCCCCAATGCGCCCCACCTTGCCATGAAGTTGTTTTTTTTTTTTTTTTTTTTTTTTTTTTTTTTTTTTTTTAACGGAAAAAAACCAACCTTGCCACCGTGAGACCTCCTTCCCTCCGTCGCCGCCGCCGCCAATTCCTTGCCTTGCCGCCTCGACATTGCCGGACTTTGATTTTTTTTTTTTTTAAAAAACGTAGAATGAAAGTGGCACAGATTTTTTTTATTGGGGTGATGAGAGAGTGTTTTTTTTTAGGTCAAGGGCAATATTGTCAATTCAATGAAAATGTGTGGAATTTAATTGGTAATTTGTAGGCGATGTTTAGTAATTCACCAACTCAAACCTAAGGTTGCATACGGCGTCAATGTTCTTAGGTCGCGGAGTTATATTTCGTTTGGTTACATGTCTGCCTCGCATCCGCTGAGTCATCGCGTATGTTGGCAGAAAACTGAGGTGGCCAAAAAGATTGACAAACTACGGCTCGCTTTACAAACTCTCCTTTTTTCTAGAGAGTCCCGACAGAGGAACTGAGGAATAGACTACAGTGGCTTCTCCTTCTCAATATCAATTTCAATTAATTGACGCATAATTTTCTAATTTCATGGTATTTTCTACTTTCAATCACATTGCTATTACAATTTTTGCTGTTATTCTTGTAAATTATATTCAACTTGAATTTGGGAGTTGCAGGAAGTAGTAGAGAAAGAGAGGAAAGAGGAGCAGCAAACTCGGGTGCCGATGCTAGAGGATTGTTTGAAGCTATTAAGAGGCGAAACCGACGAGAAACGTCTCGCCGGCTTACTGTTAGTCACACGGTGTTGTGACAAGAATGACCAACATTCCATTGTTAAGGTGTATGATGCTATTGGTGTTCGATTCCTCCACCGCCTTTTACGAACTGGTAACTCATTTTTAATTCATTCCTTAGTGTTTTTTTTTTTTTTTTTCATAAATTTACCAAATTTTATTTGTTTTATATATCATGTTCAAGCAGTATTCGAATTGAGTGTGTTAATTTGGATATTCCTTATATTTAAGATGCTTAATTTAATAAAAAAAATTATGAAATTGAGATACAATTGCTGCCATAAATACTGAGAAAATGGCTATTGCAATAACTATATGGTGAAGAATTTGGCTAGGATTATTAAGGAAGCAGTGCTGTAATGTTTTTGATTCCACTCTGTAGTAAACCGACTTACTTGTGGATTACGATTTACTGGTATAGGTTAAGCTCCTTGTTATCGCGTTAATATTAGGTTTGTCTTAATAGAGGGTTACTATGGTTTATTAATTTTGCAAGAGTGTTTTCCGTCATGGATTAAAGTATCGTGTATATGTACGTGTTTGTGACTAAATTAGGCTTGCTATATTCAATGGTGAGTTTAATATTTGGAATAATTTATGGGGATTTTAGCATTGTTAAAGATGAATGCTTAATTAAGGTGGTAGAATCAGAGGATATGGGGGATTCCAACTGTTGTTGTTAAGGTTAGATTGATTTATTTCACCTTACATGATTTTCAGCATTAGGATAAGAGACGTAGAGAGTAGAGAGACAAGCGGAGTGTGGAATTTAGGGGTTGGTTTTGGCTCTGCAGGTAGCACTGAGTAATATTGTTGGCAGTGTAGCACACAAGCAGCTAAGTTTTAAAATTCTTTTCTTTTCTTTAGACATATATTTCTTTTATATGCAAAATTAACTTAAAATAATATCAACTATGTGTTAAACTTTCTTGTTTCTTTAGCAGTTATGCCCCCAATTTCTTTTTTCTGTGATTTTTGTTTGGCAATTTTTTTAGTTTTTCCTTTCCTGCACGATCAATTAACTTAATAAAACAAAAGTTAGAGATCCTTTTTTATCGCAATCTATTATGCATTTCTGTTAGGTGTGGGTAAAGGTAATATAGCCGATAGCGGAAGTGACAATCGTGATGCTTATCTGCACCTATGCATCACAGTTCTTGCAGCATTTTGCCGTGTTCCGGAAATAGCGGCATCTGAAGATATGGTATCAAAGATACCCTTAATCCTGGAAATCATGGAGAAAGAGTAATACTTTTTTGTTAAAGCTATTTTTATTAGATTATTGTCAAATCTGCGCATTTTTAGTTAGCTGGTTTTCTTGTATTATGTATCTATACTCTAGCCTTTGCTTTGAGGTCTAGAAGTTGTTGTCGTTGGCCCTTAGTCAAATGGCCATACTTAGTAGCTTTTACATTTCAAATGCAGGTCATCTTCTTCTATTTTGGAAGAATGCTATGAAATACTGTTTCTCACTTCATCAGTTTCTGACAAGGGAGTTGCTACGCTATATGAGTCTGGAGGCCTGAGGTTGATTTCTATTCACTTGCCTTCGCTTCCAGATGGTATGAAAACAAAATAGTTCTGTCATCCTCTTGTAGTTTACTTATGACTTTTTTTGTCTTCTTTGTTCTGAGATCTTTAGCAAATGGTTTGCTGACAAGTATCTTGTGTGGGATTTCTTTTCTTGTTGAGATGTTTGAATATGCATACCTCCTTCATTTTATTTAGTGATTTGTGGACTACTGGACTCTATTTGCAGGCTCTCAGGTCTTGGAACTTTCCTTGAGACTTCTCCAACTCATCTTAAGTAAAGTTTCTGTGGATGTCATTATAAGCAGACATTTACCAGAGTTGGCAACTATGGTGAGCTAATCTGTAACACACTATCTACTTGATGTGTATTTCTACTCATTGGGACGGGTAAATCATATTTAGTAAAACTGTTTCTCAACTGACTTGAGCTGAATATCAAGGAAAAAATCCTATTAATTGGTTTTTGTGTTTACCTTTAACTAAGATAAAGGATATGGATCTATCATAGAAGCACTAAGCAAAGGTTGACATTCATAGAAAACTGATCGCTACAATCCATCCTGATGCCACTCATTTGTTAGAATTAATTTGTAATGTGGCTAGGAAGTTACTAATATATGCCAAGACAGTTGAAAGTGACTAAAAAAGTTCAAACTTGAGACAGAAAACCAATATTCATTAATTAACTCTCAAAGATGTCAATTACATGAGACAGCTCCATTTTGTTATTGTGCTAAGATCAAGAATTTGGAAATGAATAATAATCAACCCTCATATTTTTTGGATGACTGAGCAACAAAAGTTTTAGATATAAAAGTTAGAAAATATTTCCCCCTATGACAAAGTTTATGAAGCTGTATCATGCTTTCAGCTTAAATATTTCCCCCAATTTTATTTTTTGCAAAACTATATCTGATCTTGTCTCCAGCAACTCTCAAACATGCTCCTGCATCTCTACTTTTGCTTGTTCATCAAGAAATTATGAAGTTTCTGACTGAATCCTTATTTTTCAGGTTGTACCCATAGCTAGGCAGTTTGCTCTGTTTCAAAATGCTCTGAAATTTGACTTGCTCCAGCTTCTTTGTGTTATCCTTTCATCGGATCATTCGGTATGTTCAAACTCCTTATGATGCTTCTAAGTAAACTCTATTCAAACTCTTAAAGTGGCTTGGAATTTGATCATTCTTTATACGGCAAGGCCACGAACAAAATTGAAAATCCACAGAAGCCCTAATGATGCATTAAGGTTTTATATTATAGCTTGGAGATGAAGCTAGTAATAAAGGTCTTCTGTCGTGACAGATAGAAAAGCTTTTATTATATAATGGACAAAAAGGATTTGAATTAAAATTATATACTATGAACTTTGCCAGAATTTTGGTCTCTTCTATAATTTATAGGACAAGGGGTGTATAAGACTGGCTTTATGTATGGATTAGTGTCGTACACAAAATTAATTGTAAATTGTGCAAATAAAATATTTTGGGACAAGTATCGCCATCATGATATATTGCAAAACTTATATATACTCTCCTTTCATTCCCAAAAGTTTGACTTACTATAGACTTTTGTTTCTAGGAATTTTTGGAAATAATGAGTGGGTGTAAGAAAATGGTGAATTAAGTAAGAGTGTGAGTGGAAAGGTGTAGATAGTGTGGGGTAAGTGGAGTAAGGTTGTAAAAAGGTTTACCAAAAATAAAATAAAGTGAAAGTGAGTCAAACTTTGTGAAACACCGTGAAACGGAAAGTGAGTGGAACTTTAAAAAACTTTCAGTTTAGCTTCTCCTAAAGCTTGCTTTGCTACTTTGGCAGTTGTCATAGAGAAGATCCTAATGGTGGAATTTCTTAAGAGGAGGAATTTTCACAATACAAGCCATTGTAGTTTGTCTCTAGGAGGAAGTCTGTTAATCATCTTTTACCCTTATGTCCTTGTGTTCTTTCCCTTCTGCAGCTATCTCTAGCTTTGTCTGTGATGAATTGTGTTTTTATTATTTTTACAATACAAGCCATTGTAGTTGGTCTCAAGGAGGAAGTCGGTTTATCATCTTTTACCCTTATGTCCTTGTGTTCTTTCCCTTCTGCATCTATCTCTAGCCTTGTTTGGGATGAATCGGGTTCAATGTAGTTTCAGGAAAGATACTTGTATAGCTTGGAAAATATGTTGAAGCAAGCTTGGCCTGTTAAAGTGTGGAAAATTTTGTTGGCATTTTTTGTGGGACGCTTAGAAAGAATGAAACTAATGGATTTTTGATGGTATACCTTCCCTTCGTCAAGGTTTTATATTCTTTTCTCTAGTCTTCAAGTAAATTAATAGGTTATGAGCGATACTTAATGCTTCTTGATTTTGAAGACAAGTTGCTCCATCATAGCTCAAGCCTTCAAAAATATGAGCTTTGTCCTTTGCCTTGTACTTTTTTTTTGGTAGGTAAGATGAAGGACCCTATCGGGCCGGAACCCCTCACGGGTCAACTCAGCCTAGGTTAGTGGGCTAGACAACTTAGGAGAGTGAGAGGAAAGATAAGGAAAACCCTTCCCCAAATTGTCCCTAGCGTGGATTGAACCTCCAACCTCATGGCTAGAAGGTCCCCTCCTAGTGGACATGGCTCTCTGGGTGACTCCCTCATGCTCACATACTGTCTGTCACAGTATATTGTATTAATACTTGTCAATAAACCAAAAAAAAAGAAGTTATTTGTGTAGCCTGTTGCGAACTGTAGGTTTTTTTTTTTTTTTTTATTGTTTATGGTTATGAACATGATGGTCGATTTGATCTCGTTCAGATTTTTCGTATTGATGTATTCATGACTCTGAAAACCTCTATGATACTTTTGAAATATTTTAGGTTCCTCTGAAAAATGCACTCAGAGCCATGTCGGATAATAAATGGTCTGCTTATGTGCGTGCTGGAATAATGGATATTTTACAGAATCGTGTTGGTATGTTTATGCTATTGTAATATCTGCTTTTCATGAATCTTTTTTTCCATTTAATTGTCTGCTTTATTTGTGGAAAGCTAACTTCATGATCATAGCTTTAGAAATATCTTAAACATACATAAACAAGCTTGAGAAAAAGACTGCCAAATCCTTTTTCTATTTACATCTTCCTTGTGCTAAATTAATTATTTTTCTAGCTCATGGCTTACTCTACTGCATATATTGAGCAAGAGCTGTGTCATGCTTGGGTTATAGAGGGTCTATGATGCCTCTTTTCAAAGAATGTTGGACTTAAATCCTTTTTTTGAAGGATCAAAGGGAAAGTCTTGCACTTGTTAGACTGCCTTCCATTGTTGCTATAAGCTATCCTGCCTTTTTATTAGCCTTGCTCCAATTTAAGCTTAAAATCTTAAGGCTGATTTCCGTTGTCTCTCCTTGCAGCTGCGGAGCAAAAGATTCAGGCTCTTATTGTGGCTGAGGCAATGCTAGCTATGCTGGGAGAAGGGTGGCTGATTGTCCAGTTGGATGTCCCGGATTTGAATAAGTCCTTTCAATCTGAAAGGTTGGTAACATGTGAATTTCTGGTTTTCAGTCATCCATTTCAACTCGTTTACACTACTGAAGTTTTAAATTTATAGTTCCTCTTTCTTCTTCTTTATTTCTCAGGTGCTTGTTACTTGTTCTAGAGTCAGCACGGGTTGAGATTGCTGTTTTGCTTAATGAGCTGGCATACTTAAAATATGAAGCAGCTTCATCAAATCCCGAAGCATTCCTTTTAAAGAGACGTAACTTGGCCATTGTGTTTTCGTTGGTTGAAAATATTATTAAACTCATCTCAAATCTTAGTGAAGATGAAGGTAATGCTGTTTCAACATTTTCTTTGCTTTTAAGAGTAAAAATGTTTTTTTTTTTTTTTTCCTTCCTTCCTTACATCTCAGAGCATCTGCATGAACCCTTCAACATTTGGTCATTTGGATACGACATGAGACTTGGAAACTTTAAATCAGAAAATAAATTAACCAGAGGTCTTGGCGATATTGGAGTGTGATCCTCAGCTCCACACCAGTACACTAATCTTGAAAATGGTTCCTTACAAATTATGCCTAAAGGGAGATAAAGTAGCGGTAATTTAATGATTTAATCTCATTTTGAAAAATGTAATCATCTCAGTCTCTGGATCACGTTTGTTATAATTTTCTTCATCCATGGTTGAATTCTTTGAACTAGAATGTACCCGTGTTAATGCACGGGATATATGTACATTTAGGAAAAAAAATAGTATAAGTGGTAGTTATAGAATTTTTTTTATTTTTTTATTTTGGGAAAGGAAGTTATGGATTTTTATTTCATGTTAATTTGGAATAAGGGGGGGGGGGGGGGATAATGCATGAGAATTGAGAGTTGGGGGTTTGGAGTGTTGTGGTGAATTGACTCTTAAATTATATAAAAGATACATATGCATAAAGGTTTATACCTCTTGGGGCATCAGCTATCTTAAAGTTTCTGGCTGGGAGACCAGTTTAAATAAGATTGTAAACATTTGCTCTACAATGAACATTCTGATTATTGTTATTGCCTTGATGCTGTTGTTAGAAGCCTTTACTGCTGAAGGTCATGGAAAACTCTTTCTTGCTTTTCACATTTATAATTTTTTATGCTGTCTTCACCCCCACACCCCCCCCTCCTCCAACAACTTCTTGTCTGTTGAATGTGAGAGTTGAAGATTATTATATATTGTAGTATTACCCATATTCGTGGAATTTTTTGTTTGCATATTCTTCTTTTAGTTGTCCAAATATAAGTAGTACTTTCTGCTTGGCTAGAATGTGGAGTTCTTCCTACCTTAATAGTTAGTGCCGAATGATTATACGTGTATCTGTGTGATGGATTGAATTTTTTCCATTTGACTGACACAAGTCACTAAATTGATTGATAAATGACACTGACGATTTTTCTGCAACCGCAGAGAGTATTATTAGTGAAGGCACATTCACAAAGGTCATTTCTGGACTTAATGAGACGGTTGAAGTAGTCCTTGAATATCTTAAGGATGCAAAGGTAATTATGTGGTGTTATTAAATGCAATTAAAAGATTCACAATATTAAACTTAATCTTAATGCTGTGAAGGACCACGGTCAAAAGAAGGGAGATGATCTTCTTGCTTCTGTACGACTTGTTGGAAGGTGTGCCTATTTTTCCTCTTTTCTATTTCGTCAGCTTCAAAATAGGAGATCTGTCCCCTTTGAGGTTGCTTCTGATATACTTTTGTTTCAGTTACTTGGCAGAGGCTCCCCTTGCAAGCAAAGAGAAGGTCGAGGAGCTTCTAGCTTATTTGCTGTCAATTGAAGGAGAAAATGAGTTCAGGTAAGTTTTGAATACAGTGTACATTTTCGAAGTCAATAAAATTTATTTGAGTTTGAATAGCATGTTTGATATATTTTTCTGTGGCAGTCCTTTTCTTTCTAGAAGCTTCTTGCTTCCCATGATCTGCCAAGCAACAATGACAACTGAAGGAGTCAAAATGCTGGCTTCCTCTGGAGCTTACAAAGCTGTAAGTTTCTTCCCTCATTATTATAATGCATATGACCAGCTAATTGTTTAGTAAATACAAATGTGTCTTGATGCAATTTTTTTTTGTAAAGGTAATAGAATTTAATTATTGCTTGATTTTAGAATGGATAATATGGGAAATTGTCTTTCTTTTTTGTTGCTCCCACTCGGCCGCTCCCATATACAGTAGTAAAGTAGCAATAACTTACCAAAAGAAAATAAAAGGGGGCTAAAGAGAACCCTCGCTTTATGCCTCAGTCATTAATGTCTCGGGATTATTCAATCAGTTTTTATTCTGATTATCCTGTATAATTACAGAGTATATGCAACAATTTCTGTGTCCTATGCTTCCAGCAACTGCATTCTTGGTGGAAAAGCTCGTATTCTACCAGAATGTGAAGCTGTTCATTTTTTCCCAGATTGCTTGCTTATTTTATTTTGATGCACCTCTTCTTTAAATTCTGATGTGAGTATAATATTTGGAACGCCAATTGATGTTTCATTTCTCTAAATGCTCATTTGGTTATCACATTTGTTGCTTCCTTTATTGGTTTCCAGCATTATCACTATCTGAACACACAAGTGACAAAATGGGGGGAAAGGTAATTTCTAGCTATCTTAAAGTTTCAATAATGAAGGAACGTCCTTGAATATTGTGGGAACTTTCTATGGTCCTAACCCACTTAGTGAACTTATGGTAGCAATGCATGAGTAAAATTGGCAATACAATTTCTACTTTATTTTGGAGTATACAATATTCGTATTTGTTCATTGATTTTGGCTTCCTTGCATCTTAATTTTTTTGGTTCCTGGCCAGGTTATGGAGTATTTCGTACATCTAATGAGTAAAGATTCCCGTCTCAGTGAAAATAGTGATTCTGTATTGTTAATATGTGATACAGTTATAAATTTCTTGTTGAAGGTAATGCCACTAGCAATATTGTTTCTTTTCCCTTGGTTATCTTGCATTAAATGGTACTTATTCAGTTATTTGTGGTTTTGATTTTGTCCTTGCTTTCCTTAGAGGGAACACATCAAAGTTCAGCTGGATGAAGCTGTGTTTGTCCAAGTCTTGAAGGCATTGACTTATTGGACAGGTACCTTTTTTGGATGTCAGATTCTCATATTGCCTTTGAAAAATCTGTATATCTAAAAACACCTAAAGTTTGCTCTTTCCATACATTTGATGAACTTGCATAACAAAGGCAAAGGATATTAAGCTTAATCTAGTAATACTTGTTCTGCATCTTAATGTTTTGTCCTCTGCACACGACAATTTCTTTTTACCTTTCCCACCCTCCCCTACATTCACAAGAATCCAGTTTAACATTGACCTGACCTGAACCTCATCCTGACCCAACATTATTCTGACCTGTGTCTAAGTTGACTGGAACCAGCACACGTACACACACACACAGGAACCAGCACACGTACACACACACAGACAAAAATAGACTTAATTAGACCTGTATACCTGATTTAAGTCAAACTTGAACTTTATATAAAATAATCTCACTTTAACAAGTGTTTGAAGCCCAATCCATATCAGTGATATGACCCCACAAAGTGAGGTATGGTGACCTCAAAATGACAAGTTACTGGGAAGGGCTGTTTGAATTGCCGTTATTAATATGTTAATGCCAGACATGAACACTCCAGGAACCAATAATACCCAAAAATTGTTGTCCACTACTTTTAATTTTCCTATCTTTCAATTGTCTTATACTCTTATTGGAGAGTGGGGTATTTTACTGACCGGATCTGGTGCCTCTGGATCCATCAATATGAAAGATAAAATAGATACAAGTCATACAAAATTTCTATTAAGCTATGTGTTTTCTTATACAAGGCTATTGTTTCTGTAATGGCCAGAGGGAACAAGTGACTCAACTTACATCATGATGGCGTCAAGCATATGTTCACTTATTTTTGACAACACATCAGAGAAGGCCCTGCTGACATATCCAGGGATTGATATAAGCATTTTACATAAATTGTCTCAGCTCATTGCAAGAAGCTTGGTTGTATGTGCACAGGTAAAAGTTGTATTTTGTTCAATCACATGCATTTTATGTTGAGACATGCAACATTTGAGAATCTACATTGTTGTTCTTGCTTGGTAGAATCCAACAAAATTATTTCAAAAATCAGTGTTTTCTATTTGGGTTTGTATTATATTGGATTAGTTGTGACTGACTCGTTATGCTGTCAGTGTGCTTTTATATACTATGTAGTAAATGGTGTTAGCATTTCGATTTAAATGTCTGATCTAGACAGCTTTGCTGCTACTATAGGAGTAAGGCAGTAGATAGCTAGATATTCAACCCATCCAGAGTGAAAGCCTCTTTAGATAAATTGGGATAAAAGTTTAAGAGAAGTATAATACCAAGCTTCCTCCGCGTATGTATTTTACACTGGCGTTGAGAAATGCACCCTTTTGCAGTCAACATAGTGAAACTGTTTTGGTTGGGACGAGGAAAGAAATGGCATCTTACTTTGAGAGTTCCTTAAAAAATTTTAAGGTCTCCTTTCAGATATACTGTAATTCATCAGATATTATGTAGCTCCTATAGCAAACCCATAATGTCTATGCTTTTGTCTGAATAACAATCTCATAAATCCTTGCATGGAATATGGCGTATAAGATTCTGCTTGTTTCCTGGTGGGATTAATCTTTGTTGCTGCAAATTAATCAGGGGATGAGTTCACTAGTAGATATGAAATCATTTGTTTGTATCTTAATTAGTGAAACATTACTCGTAATTTCCTTATGCACATACTTTTCTCCGCTTAATATTTTCTTGGCTTTTCATGAGAGTTTGAGATCCTTCTAAAAAATTGTTCGTTCTAAAAAATTTGTCACAGAAAAACTGTAACAATGCAAATTCGGATGTGGATCTTCATCAGATAATAGCTGCAGGTTTGTTCAACTTCTCTGAATCTCTGATATCCAAGTTGAGATTGTGTGATATAAAGTCGGTGTAATTAAATTTCAGTTCACTGAATGTATTTTTATCTTTTTATTATTATTTTTTTCTGTTCTTCCTTGGAATTCTAGTTGATGATGAAGGCATGAAGCATATCTTTTAATCTTTGGTAGACCAGTAGACAATATTTTGTGGACACTTTCAGCAAGTACTAGTACTACTTTTAGGTCTTCTGCACTGTATTGAGCATATCATTTACAGCACTTCTGAACACGATCACAGGTTATTCCCGGTGGGCTGATCGATTTCCCCTTGTCAGAGAAGCGGTAGGGAGATGAATTACATGAATAGGTGTCACAATTTTTTGGAGTTTCTGCTGTTGCTGTTGCTGTTGCCGTTGCCGTTGCTGTTGCTGTTGCATAATATCATTCAGCTATATAGCTGCTGTACATTAATACCTGAGAAAGTACTGTAAATCATTGTTTCGTGTTCGGCTGGAAAGTTGATGTAGCTTGCAGGATCGAAAATTTTGCAGGGAAAAATTTAATTAGCGGTTCATATGGTCTTGTAAGAAACATCTATTCTAAAATCACATTTCTAAGAAAGTTAAAGTTGGGTGTTTTATAAATTATAACCTGTAAAAGCATTGTAAATCATGAGTTTACACAAACTGTAATGTTCACATAAATAGTTATATCTGCAAAGATTATTTTCGAGTGATTGATTTTTTTAATTTTATTTTAATATTATTAATGAATTAATGACAAACAATAGTAAAAGTACATCAAGAGAACAAGGTGTATGTCTCCAACAAATAACTTTGGGAAAGCCTAGGGTATCATACGAAGCTTGTACGTTTATACCACAGTAATTTATGCAGTACAACATTTAAAATATGTTATTTTGCCCTAATCAGACATTACAAAACAGCCTTCTCCCTTCCCCGCAAAGGGAAATTTAGTCATTCCTGTGTAGAAAAAGTCAATTAAAGGCAGTTACACCGAAATTATTTTATATTTTAGTAGCAAAAATATAGCCAAAGTAAAGACATGTGGAGTACAATTAAATAAACAAATTGTGTTTCAAAAAAAAAAAAAAAAAAACAAAAATATGTCAATGTTACATAATACCAAGTAGTACCTAATACTCGCTGCACTTAGTTGTAAATAGCAAACTAATGAATATAAGTCATTGTACAATTTTTTGCTCTCTTCAAAAACATCTTAAAATATGTTGTAGTATTTTCCGTTTAAATAGATTACACAAAAATGCAGTCAAGATTCAATCAAACTATAACCAAAAGATTCAAACCACATTATATCAAGCAAAGAGATGAAAAGCTTTTTCGTAATTCAGCTCTTTTGTGATTGAAAAAAGAAATTTCTGTAAACATTCTTCCGCTCTATCACTAACATAATGTCCTAAGACACCTAATAGACAAACTAACACTTAATCTACCTGTATTACAAGAACAAAAAGTATCTTGAGAGAAGCTTTGATCTAAAGAGAAACCAACAGGGAAAAAAATCATGAGCATTAAGCGAATAAATTGATTTCACATTATATACATAGTATAAGACTTGCAAGCCAATGCTAAGAACATGGATCAGCAGATCACGTTCAGAATAACGTTGCCAATAGTAAACTCAAATTCAGCTTCTCACTTGCAATTGTTGCAACACTGCGAGACTGCTCTTAAACTTCGACGAACCAACCTTTTGAGCCCAAATATTAAATTAAGCTTAACAGTTATCAATGAGTTCCCCTCTACTATCCCATGGCCGGTTCTCAAAAGACTTCCCCATGATACTGCGCTTCTCATTTAAGGTTCCATCGTCAAGCTTGTACTCTGGGAAGTAGTCCAGAAATGTTTTACTGCCTAGTTCATCAACTCCATTAAATAAAAAGCTCCTCAGCAAATTCTGTGATATAGAAGTTCATTAAAAAAAAAGTCTTAGTTTAAATTACACCCATATTACAAATGAATATAGCTAGAAGATAGCTCATCAGTTCAAGAAAAGTACTCTTGCTCTTTCTTCCCCAAGCAATCTCCTCAGCATTGGATGCCCCGGATCCTATTGCAAATGTTACGATAGTGTCAGGCTTATTATGTTATAAACTGGGATGGTGGGAATCGTGGAATCAGATATTATAGAAAACATTATCACAATAAAACATAGATGTTCAGCCATAGAAAGTGTGGCATTCATTCCTCAGATGAGAACAAAAACTCTCCACCTTGGCAAAAACTTTTCTTAGCCCACTAGAAGTATTTCTCTCTGTAAACCATCCCCAGCCAAACGTATTTCAGTGTATACTATTTACGAAGTATAATTCACAAACAACATATTGAGGAACAATCAAGTCATTTTGCAAAAGCTTAATAAATGATACTGGTGGAAAAGGAAAAGGGGGAAGATATTTTTACCTTCTCTGCTCTCCAGGTAAGGTATTTATGTTGTGCTTCACTGTTGAGCATAATTTGGTCAGCAGCAGTCTCCTCCACTGCATGTTCCATCAAGTCAAGCCATGTCTGCACAGATAACAACATATTTTAAGGATTTGTACATGGTGTCCTGTGTCCTTCGGAGTAGAATCATTAATTTAGGATACAAAAACCAATCTACACTTTCTACTTCTTCCTCGAAACAATTTTTTACTATTACTTCAGCAATATGACAAGATCTCCATAATCCAGTCAATAGATTGCCCCATAACTTATTTAGTATAATTTTCCTTTTGCAACCTCACTTGCTCTCTCTCTCTCTCTTTCTCTCATCAACAATTGTGCCCACCCATGTGCATAAATTTGTTTTGAATCTTAAAAAAGTAATATTTGGGTTTAGGGCAATCTTCTAGGGACAACTAAGTTTGAAGGTTGAATGACAAAAGACTACACAAAGACATGAACTGATAGTCACCAGCAAGACACCAAGACCAAAGAAAGCAATGACAGTCCCAAGAATCTGCTAAATATACGATCATGGTTCCAACTTGTGGTCTTGTGGATTGTTAATTTCACTAAAAGCCACACATTATATAATGTGAAGTTGTAAACTATTGCTTATGAAGTTATGGTCTATGATTTCCCTTTCCAACATCAAAACATCACCAGCTAACAAATCAACAAATATGATTAATTGCCTCTGCTGTTATTTCATGCAAGATATCAGAGCATTTGAGTCAATGAGTCAAGTCTAGAAGTTGATATTCACCTCGTAATATTCACTGAATGCGTCAAATAGAATATCATGCTTCTCTTGGCTTGAAGTAAATCTTGTCCATATAACTATTGGTGAGAAAAACCTCAAAGATTCACCTGTAAGTTTTCCTCCCCATGGCAAAAGCTGCATATAATCTGAATTAAAATCAGTGAAATTTTAATATGGGTTAGGAGATGATAGCATCAAGACTTGATCCAGGAATGTAGAAGAAGTACAAACTTACTTCAGCATACTTAACGCTGAGAGGCATTAAACTTTTGTAATACTTCTCTTTGTATTCTCTATTAGTAATGACATCATGCAATGGATTGAGATCCCTGATGCAACCGTATAAAAGAAAAGGGATAAACATAAGAGTGTGATATAAAGGTGTTAAAAAGAAAACAAAGAAGCAAGAGAACATTCATCAGCAGAGCACCACACATACACGAATACACACACAAGTGAAGCAACATTGGAATGGGTACAACTTACAATACAATAATGTTCGTCGATGAGCTGCTGAAAAAGTTGGCACAAAATATAGGCAAGTCAAAAGCAACTTTTGGGAAGATGCCAAAGTCCAACACCTGCACATAACATTGTGATGGTAAAACAGAAAAGAAAGGCGGAAATTGCAAAAATTTGCTGAGATAGATAATACGTGGACAGTGGATGTGCATTGTAGAAAGTTGTTAAGAAATAAAAGTCAATTATTTAGTGTAACTTTTTTTTTCCTTTTTTTGTTGCTAAGAGCAAGAATACTATTGAAATTCAAAAGGGATATAAACTAAGATCTAAAATCAATAAGAAAATAAACTAGGTTGGATCCATCAGAAGACAGACCAAACATTAATGATCAAGCTATTATCGACAAATATCATTTACGAAGACAAAAATGAAAAATCCACCGTTTATCACTATTATCACTTTAAGTGTGTCTTTAACTCTTTGTGCAGAGTGATTAATTGTCAAATTTTTATAATTCCATAAGGAATCATTTCTGATCTTCCATACTATGTAAACCACAACGTCAGTTGCTGCTGTATTTACGTCCTTTTAGAACTTTGATCCCTTGATCTTCTATTGATCCAATTGAGCATCCCTGCAATATATCCCTTGTTCTGCATCAGATCCCCAACCAATTCTTATGAGATTCCACAGCTCTCCAACATATGGTATCTTCACCAATCACTCCCTGGTTGCAATCTCTTAAGCATGGCCAGCCAATTTATGAACTTGTGTTAAGGAACAAACAATCCATTCCATACTTTCCTTGTCCAAGGTATATTGAGACCATTCACTTCCAAATTCTGGTACATTTTCTTCTCTGAATATTATTCTTTAAGCATGGTTAGCCAATTTTGGTACATTTTTTTTTCAACTCACTACCACAGCATAGTACTTCCAATATTTTTCACTTCACAAATTTTATTCCAATTCCAACAACTATCCTTAGTAGGCTGGTAACTCCACCAATTATGATCCATAATATACACAGGTTATCCTGCTTATTTGTGATTGCACATGTATACCTATTGATGCAGCATTCCATAAGTCAAGGTTCTCAATACCCAAGGCTTCCATATAATTTAGGACAACAAACGTTATCAAGCTACATACCCTGCCTTCCTGCTATAATACTCCCCACTCCATAAGGAAGCTCTGCAAAATTTACACACCATTTTAAAATTCTTTCAGCTGATTATCTTGCTATGTCCCTTTTTCTATATCGGACAGTTCCTTATAACGATTCATATTAGCCGACCCCAAATCATTTTGGGACTAAGGCTTTGCTGTTGCTGCTATTGTTGTTGTTGTCAAGCACTCCTAGGCAGAACATACACATGAACCCAGTATATAAGCAACACATAATTTATCAGCTGCGCCCTAGCCTGAAAAGATAAGTTCCCGCAGCTGCCTACCACATAATTTATCAGCTGCGCTCGTTTCAACTCCTTTTTTGGCTTTTAATGTGTCATTTAATCATATTTGCTCCTAGTCTATGCTTTCACAATATATGCTATATAGATATAACTATGTTGCTTATAAGCGAACAGAAAAAGATCAAAAGAGTTTGACGGAAATAAATCAAAAAACACCTGCGCTCTACACCCGTACCCTGCCCGCAGGTGTGAAATAGAAAAGTCAGATGTTGGATAACATCTACGTGGCACCTGCAGGATTCACACGGACATGCCAATGGCTTGTTGAGAGTGTGCTGGTGGTATATTGAGAGCATGCCTACAATGCCCTTTGTTCCCAGATCATTATACCAAGAGATAAGCTCGGTGTAACCACAAATGTGACCGTGGCAAGTCCGGAGATCAACATCTTGATGTCATATTTTAATCTTATTAAAATGTAATTAAAATGTAATTAAAATGATTAATTCATTCTTAGATTATGAATCAGATTTTTTGAGTGAAAAAAATTAGAGAGAGATTAGTTGGCGATCCTTAGATTTTAAAGAGAAATAACTTCATTGGTAGCGAGAGAAAGTTCATCATGAGTTCAAATTCTTCAATATTCAAGCTCAATTCAGCGAACTTTTTCTTTCCTCAAGGTCATCCTTGATTTAGATTTTAGCCATTAAATTGATTTTCCCAATTTGATAGCAATAATATAGCGCAATTGTTCATATGTCTTCGAAATTTATGTTTAAATTACTAGCTTGATTGGTAAATTTAAAGTTTTGATCATGCTTATGATGCAATCACGAGTACAATTGTCCCATGATTTCTATGATGATTATGAGTAGTTTCATAACTAGGGCAGGGTAATGAGTTAGCAACTAAACTATCATTTGGTGAATCTATCTATGTTTTGAGGCAATGGAGTAGCTAACCATATTACACCCCAATGTAGCTTACATTCATATGTATCTGGCTCAGCTTGTTAAACAATATACCCCTATGTAGCATAAAATCTCAAGTATCTACTGTTTGGAGACATTCCTTTCTTGGCATCAAAAGATGAGCATGCTTCTTTACAAATTAAAATTGAAAATGTACCAAAATCAAAACACTCATGCCCTGCCATTACAAGTCCATCACAATGTAGAGAACATCTTTAACCACAGATTCCTCCATTCCAATCTAATTCCTCTATGGCTAATCCACACAACTAATTCTTCAATACAAAGTTTTTTGACCCCATTATAATGCATGAGATTATGACCCCTTGTAGGCTTGTAGCTAAAAACTGCAATATGCATGAAATAATAAAATTACAGGCTAATACCTAAAAAATTTTACACATAACACATTAACACCTATATTGAACCTTCTGGACTGCTAGAGAACTTAATATTTTCAGAATATCTGTCAAAATTTCAGGACAAGGTGCTCAATAAACAGTAAACCATGATGTAAACCTACTGTCCGCAGCCTTGCTTGCTCCTATCCAGAATATCTAAGTAAGACTTCAATCGCATGGATTTTGCACCTATATATGGCCCAGAGGCCCCAGACTAACAAAATAGAGCCTACTTCCTACTGTACGATTATCTTGTTTAAGAAACAATATCCTTCCAGATGAATTTTTCTTCTCAAACAAAAGATAGATGATGTTAACTTGATAGCTCCTAGGCCAGGATCTTGTTAGAGAAACATTTGCCTTCCAAAGATACTTTGTTCACAAACAAATGATACATGATCTGACTTTTCTACAATACAGCCAAAGAGCTATATGAAAGTCAAACTTAGTCAATTTGTCATCTTATTTTGAGATGATTAATGTAGAGTCATCATCATTAAACAAATCCAAGATCGACATACAGAGTGCTCTTTTAAGGGCATTACATATTGGTGATTCAATTGACATTAACGTCTTCTTAAAACAGGCTTACCTATTAAATTGGTATCTGGTAAAATCTGCATACAATGCGTTCGTTCTAACTTCTAAGGCAATGAATGCTGGTGAAATCAAAAGACAATGACATCTTCGAAGCAACAGGTGCACCTACTAAACTGGTATGTGTGTCATATACATTTCAATGTATGTAGAATTAGCATATTCACACATTTTTATAAAGATTTTCAGAAGAGTTACACAACAGACTAACTCTTGCGTATGGCCAATTATTTATCTATGAGCATTTATTAGTTTTTCCTTACACCCATAAAAATGTATGTATTAGGGGGGCAAAAAAAGAAAGAAAGAAATACCTGCAGCGAATCACCCCCATCAATGTGCATACTGCGAAGTAATCTAATTTTAGAATCTTCAAAAGATTGAAACTTGAGGTTGGCCTTTCCATCTATAGCTTCAATATGGCTAAAATTTTTCTGTTGACGCTCAAACAATAGTTTGGATGATTAAAAAAAAAAAAAAAGGAATTAACAAACAAATAATTGAGATGCAGAAAGTCTATTACAACAAGATGATGATGAAATCTATTAAAGACAAAAATAATCCTACACAATCAGCACATGCATGACAAAAGATGCACACTGGACAAACTAGTTTGGATTTCGCTCCCTAATGAACCATGATGTAGAGTTATATGGTTTAATGCTTGGCCTAGAAGCATAAGAGGTAGATATAACTACCTTAACGTGATATAGACTAATCATCAACAAAACAACCATCAACAAGACTACAGTGAGATATTACCCAAAAAAAAAAAAAAAAATCCAACTTATTTAATAGTAACTGACCAATAAACAAGTATCACAAAGACACAAAACACCTCCCATTAAAAACACAAACTATATCAGACTTAAATATCCAACAACCAAACTCCCATTCCAAAATGGCATGATAGTCAAGCTCTTCTCCCCCGCCCCCTCATCCATATAGACCTCTAAACAAAAGAGATAATGAATATTGCAGTCACTCCACAAAAGATGGTACAATTAGAAACAAATCATCAAAACCTTCCAAAAAAAGGTTTTGTTGATAAGTTTCATTGATTGCCTTCCTAAAGCCATCTATCAATTTCGCATACCTAATAGTAACTCCAATGGCAAGCTAATTGTCAAATTAGCTTGTCATGCCACATAAGCTTTTAAGCTAATTATCATTTGAGCTCCAATGGCTAGCTATTAGATTACTATTTAAATGAACAACACCTCCTTAATTTACGTTTTTTAAATTTTATTTTATTTATTCTAATTTGTTTTATTTTAGCAAAAAAATTTCCAAGCAAAGCTAATTTGCTTGACCAAGCTAATTGCATTTTCTAACTCCAATGGTTAGGCTAGTAGCTAGAGATTATTTAATATTGCAAGCAAGCCCCTAGCTACAACCATTGGAGTTGCTCTAAGACTTAGTTTTCTCTACATCATTGTTCCCAAATCCTACCTTTAGTAATCTTAATATAGGAATGCCATATTTTACTCCCTATGACCCTATTCCTCAACTTCCTCTTCTTCTCCATTACCACCCAATCCCCTCCATAACTATTCCATCATGGAACCAAACAAAGGAAAACGATATCAATATATACTTTCCATCAAAAACAATATCCAACTCAAAATGTTTTCCTCCAAACCAAAAACAACCTACCAATTTCTCTGCAATCCAATACACCAACTTCATATGAATCATATAAAAAAAAAAAAAAAAAGATGAATCACTGGCAATAACTTCACAACATATAAAATCTTCTTTAATGATTAAATCTTCAGTAACTCCAAATTTTTTAATACATGGGAAATTCAAAAACGTAAAAGATTAGTTTATAATCAACATACTGTACAATTGACATACCATTAAAATTGTTAAATATCAACTAAAACCCAGAAAATAAATTATTGAAAAATCAAAGAGGAAGCAAGAAATAACCTGTAAAGGAGAAGACATGAGATGGGTACGACGCTTAGTTTCTTCAACAGCAAAGTCTACAAATTTTTGATAAGATAAAGCAGAAATTACTTGGGTTCCCACTTTAATCTTCGTCTTATCTTTATAAAAGTAAATTCGATTGTTGAACTGGGAATTGGGGTTTGGCTTCAGCCAGAAATTAATACTGAGGGATTCCATTGAAGAACTCTGTTAAATGTCAATTTACACTTTACAGTGTGTTTGGATTGTATGGGTGGGTTTTGTTTTTTGTTATTTTTATTTTTTATTGTGTTTAGATTGAAGGAGATAGAGGGAAAGAAGGGAAGGAAAATGGAGGGTGGAGTATCTTACTCCGTATATTAACTCTGCGTGTATTTTGTATAAACTCTTTTCCCTGAAGTTTTAAATTTTGGTGGAACTTGATTTGATTAATTAAATAGTTTGTTTCTTATTAAATATATATATATATATATATATATATATATATATATATATATATATATATATATATATAATCTGTTTCTTTTTAAAACAAATAAATGAGGTTCTTAAAAAAAAAAAGGGATTTTTTATTTGGTATCATTGTAATTTTGGTTTTTTCATTTAGTATCCAATTTTTATTTTTATTCCATATGGTACCATTGTAATTTTGACTTATTCTTTATTATAGCATCTGTTAAATAAAACATTAGTTTTGTGCGATGGTCCTTAATTTTCTAATTTCGACTGCAAAATTTGATCCTTTAAGATCATAATGAGCCCAACACTTTAACCGGACTTTTTTTTTTTGCTAAACAAATCGAAATATACAAGACGAGACTTTTTTTTTGCACATAAATCGTGACATTTTTAAGCTTTTTTTGCTGTTTTCGACCTTGAACTTGAACCTTAAGGCTGTTAAGGGCTAAAACATCCTATTAACCTTAACCGATCAATTTTTTTGACACCCAAATTGAAGATTACATAATTTATTTGACGGAATGCGATGACAGAGAATAAATTGAAAGTATAGTGGTACCATTTGGAATAAAAATAAAAATTGGGTATTAAATGGAAAAGCCTAAACTACAATGGTACCAAATGGAAAATCCAAAAAAAAAAAGAGGAAGGAAAAAAAAAAAATCAAGTCGATTAGTCTTAATTACATAAATTTGTAAATCAAGGGGTAGTATAGTCATTGCATTTATCAAATTGTAGTGATAATTTAATTTAAATTTGCTACTTTAATTCCTATATGTGGTTTAGTTTATTTAATACTAGATTTAAGCCCGTCTGATGCACGAGTCTTTATTAATAGTTAAATTTAACATTTAATATTCAATCGTTATAACAAAAAAATTTAATACATAATATTACTATTTGTTTTTAATTTTATACAATAAAGGTTCACACATATATAAACAATGTATATTTTGAAAAATTTTTGTTTAAACAACAATACAAACCAACTCTTGTTGTTTGTGTGTGTGTATATATTCCAAAGTTTTAGAGAGCTTTAAACTTTTAATTTTAATCTTATGTGGCGCTTTAAAATAATAATCCTACGTGGCATAATCCTACACGTCACGCCCAAAAATACTAATTCTACATGGCGCTTTAATAATTTTTACAAAATTAAAATCTTACGTGGCTCTCTAAAAACTTGGAAAAAATCTCCCCTTTATATATATACTAGTTTTGTGCCCGGGCGATGCCCAAATTGTTGATAAAATTTTATGATAAAACTTTTTGGCTTGAATGTTAAATGTGGTCATGTAATCCCTTTTGATAATGCAGGAAATTTAAACATACGATATCATATCGCTTATTTATATAATAAAGTACTTTTGTAGTTTTGTTTGTAAATAGATATTTATGTTATTATTGACTTGAAATTATTTTTATTGAATTTTAATTATTTTTACTGAACTGAAAGTATTTTTTTTCTGATTAAAACTTATTTTTACATAATAAAACTTATTTTTACTTAATAAAACTTATTTTTACTTATTCTCTATTGTTTATATAAATGAATTAAGTATATTATAAATGGGTCTTATTTTAAAGAACTTTTTAAAATTAATTTTATAATGGAAATTGAATTGAGTTACAGGATAATTATAAAAAGATATGATTAATGTTGTATATATGAAATATTAGAAGTATATTGATAATAAAACTCTATACAACAATTTATCTTAAAAAATCTTTCCAAAATTCTCTTACTTAACATCATATGTGTCACAATAATACCTATTTGTCGCCTATGTGGCGCGACACTTGGCGAAAAATTGGAATGCCAAGTGTTGCTGTCTCGTGGCCTAGCTATAAGACCGACTTTATTTATCAGTGACTAGTTTTGTGCCCAGGCGATGCCAGGTGGTTGATAAAATTTTAAGATAACATTTTTACTTGAAATGTTAAATATGGTCAAATAATTCGTTCTGATAATGTAGGATATTTAGACATACGATATCATATGGATTGTACTTTGTATAGTTTTGTTTGTAAATAGATATCTATGTTATTATTGACTTGAAATTATTTTTATTGAACGTAAACTAATTGCACTGAAGTGAAAGTATTTTTACCAAACTAAAATTATTTTACTGATTAAAACTTATTTTACTAATTATCTAATTTTTTTTTAAATAAATTAAATAACAATGCATTTTGTATGCGGCTAATTACACCATCTGGACGGACAAAGTAATCCCTATAAAACTGATTGAGTAGCCCCTATAATACTAACTGATCGAGTAACCTCTAACACTGACTAAGTAACCCCTATCTATAACACTGATTGAGTAACCACTATAACACTAACCAAGTAACCCCTATAGCACTAACGAAATAACTCTGATCTTGTAATAGTTGGTGACAGGGTTTGGCTAGCTACGTATAAAAGTTTGTGATTAAATATATTATAAATGGATCTTATTTTAAAGAACTTTTTAAAACAAATTTGATGATGGAAATAGAATTGAGTTATAAGATATTTACCAAAAGTTATGATTAATTTCGTATATATGAAATATTAGAATTTTATCGATCATAAAACTCTATGCAACAATTTTATCTTATAAAATTTATCCAAAAATAACTTACTTAGAATCATATGTGTCACAATAATACCTATTTATCTCTTACGTGGCGCAACACTTGGCGAAAAACTGAAATGCCATGTGTCGCTGACTGCGAGACCGACTCTATTTATTAGTGATATGATATGATATTAGATGGTAGTTTATTTATTTATTTATTTTTATATAGTATGTGATAATTTTTTATTTCATTTACTAGTTTAATTATGATAATTTAACTTTAATTATTTTGAACAAATATACAACCCTAATCTCTCTCCCTTCTCCTCTCTCTAAAACCCTAGCCTCTATTGTTGAATTTTGGAGGGACCTATATCGGATTTTACCGGTGTAAAGCCTAATTTTTGTTTCTTGTGTGCTTTTTCTCGTTGTTTTTATTTGCTTTAAGTTTATAATAATTATTCCTCTTTTAGGAGGAATGATTTTCCCTCGAAAGAAGGGGTTTTTCTTCTTCTTTAGGAGGAATTTTCTCCTTCAAAATACGAAGTTTCTCTTCTCTCTTTTGAGGGAGAGGATTTGTGTTTTTTTTTGTTTGATGGATTACTAGAGTTGTTTCATGGGTAAAGATTTGTGCGGGATTGAAAAAGAGGTTAGTCTTTCGAATACAATTAGATGAATCGGACGGAAATTTTCTTTACGGCTACAACAGATTGCTAAACCCCCTTGTCGAAGAAGGATGTAAATCATAACAATTTGAAAGAAGAATGAAGAATGTATGATTTGCAACACGATTGTAGCTTTACTAAAAGGTTTTATTTGATTCAATTGTCATGTATTTGTTAGATATAAATCTCTTCCTAGATGTCGTATGACTTTTTTTTAATGAATCATTTTTTAATTAAAAAAAGTTTAATTCTAATAACTTTTTACCAAATTAAAAATTAGATTTCGTGCTTTGAATCAAACAATCTCAAAGGAAATCCATGAGTAGTTCATTCCATTTGCAAAACAACCAAACAAGTAGGCAAAATCAAGGTCCTTCCTTTTCTTTCTCTTTGTTTCCCTTTCTAAATTTCATTGTGTTAGCCCCCGCAAGAACCAAAAACCCTCTAGCAGTGTGTTTGGATAAAGGAAGGGGGAGGAAAAGAAGGGGAGGGTAGGGTAGGAGAATTGGAAAAGGAATGAATGGAAAGATAGGGAAGGGGAGAGAAGAATGATGAGTTTTCCTTCCAAATCTCTACAATGTTTGAGATATCAAAAATCTTAAAATTTAATCCCACCAATTCTCTTTCCTCGAGAGACATCTAGTCAATTAGCTGATTTACAGAAAATGTAAAGCAACCACCTTTTTCAAATTAAAAAGTTAATAAAATATGGGGAAAAAAAGTAGATAAAAAGACAAAGGTACCCCAATTTGATACAATGACTATACTACCCCTTGATTTACAAATTTATGTAAATCAAACTTATCGACTTGATTTTCTCTTAAATTTAACCTTATGCTATTATTATCATAATCTAATGTTATTCTGCTTAAACTTGTGTTATTTATTATATTAGTTTATTATTTTTTTTTATTTATTTATTTTTTTTTTAATTTTTTTTAACTCAATCCCATTTTTATCTTGTTTAAACATTATTGTGTTATTTTAAATTAAACCTTATACTCCATTATTTTGCTAAACTATAATGTTACAGAGTATTTTGCTTATCATTTGTGATCGTTTTTTTTATATTAGTCCTTTTGTTATTTTGTTCAAACATTATGTTATTTTGGATTGAACCTTATGTTATTTTTCTAAACTATTTTGTTATTTTGCTTAAAATCTTGTGTTATTATTTAATATAAATCCTTTTAAAATATTGATTAAACATTGTGTTATTTTGCTAAAAACTTTCATTATTTTGTTTAAAACTAACTTTACAATAAATACCTCAATAAAAACAGAGAACAAAAGTGAAATAATTAATGGAGGTAGGAGAAAACAAAAGAGATAGAACCAAAATAGTAGTAGAGGTGACATAATATATAATTTATGTAACAAAAAGTCTCTTACACAATAACATAGAGTTTGATCATGTTGAATAATATAATGCAATAAATAAAGTAACATCTGTAATATGAAATACGATGATGAAAATGATGTAATAATAACATTAATGTATAGTTAAATAACATGAAATACATTTTTAAATAATATAATACACACCTTAAAATAACATGAAACAATAAGAACCTGGAGTATAAAGAACATCGTACTCTAGGAGACTAGGAGTACAAAATAAATTGCGCTTTTAAAGTAACGAGAAAATACAAGTTGATTTTCATGCTAAACAACAATTGTTTACCTAGTGACAACATCGTAAATAAGTGCACATGGTTTAACTATTTATCGTATATAAATAGCGATTTTAGTGCAAATTTTAC